ATATATTTCTATAAAGTAACCCTACTTTTGTTTGCTGCTCAAGTGGAGCATGTTATCCGTATCAGCCATAGGTATTTCAATAGGTAGAAAGGATTCACTGTATTTGTTTGTGTGTCATTCTGAAAATATAGTTTTTTAAACAGATCTGGTACTTTACCAGGTGTGCCTTTAAGTAATTTCTATTGCATTTATACTTTAGGAGGATTAGGAAAGAGAGTAAAAGAACTCTTTGTCCGTTAGATTCATTAAATGTATTCATGCGTGTGTAAGTGGTATAGAGGCTGTGCTACTCGGGAATCAGATCCTTGTCCTAGGGTGTAGAGAAAGGTGAAGGGTGTGATATTTACTGCTTGTGTAAGTGTCATAATAATTGTGTATTCGATTCTTTACTTTTAAATGACCTTCCTGGGCATTAAGCCATTTTTTTGTATTTATCTTTTCCCCGCAGAGTTAGGGAGGGTAAGGAACCACACCTTTGAAATGGTAAAAGTGCAGCTGCTCAGGATGTGAATGTGTAATAGAACAGACAGTCAGCAAAGGTGAAGATAAAAATAATACAAAAATTGTTCTAGAAGGAAAAATACTTTGCTACAAAAATGTATTAAAATGTTTAAACTGTTATTAATTTTAATTTTGGGGTCATTAAAAAACCCAAGGAATTTAGACAGAGTAAAGCGTAAGTAGCTACCCCATTCTTGCTGGAGAATTACAAGAGTTAACATTACTGTCTTTTGGTTTTGCACTTCTTAAATCATTCAAAGTGCTGCAGAAGGTCTTCAAACCAGCTAGCTAGTGCTTAGCCAAAATAATTACCACAGAATTCATTTAAACAAATACCTGTTAAAATAATAAACTTCCTGTGCACCAAACCAACATCAGTTGTGTAACGAAGCTCTTGACGTTAAAAGATGGACTCTTGGCTCCAGCGCACCAGAGCGTAAGGTCCCGTACAAGCGTATCCACAGTTGGAAGTACTGTTTTACCAGCTGAAACCCCTTGCAGCGAAACATTTCACCGCTCAACGGCAAGATCTCGCACTGACAGAAACACGGCCCTGGTAGCACCCTCTGGTCGTGTTGCTAGAAAGTCTGCCCTGAAGAGAGGGGGGTGTTGAAGTTCCCCTGGAAAGTCACTTGCCCGAAGATGAAAGCTCCCGGGGCACTGTCTGCTTTGGCTTTGGGACAGCCCTGAACGCGCACGTTATCCCGCAGGATTCTGGGAGCTTGAATTTTGGGGATTTTGCTGTCACTGGCGTTACACTCTCTTAGCATCTGGACATTGTGTCCTTCCTCTGCCACCCTTCTCATGATGTAAATTTGGAAAAGCTCAGAGCCTCTTTTTAAGGGGGTTTAGTTTACCTTTCATTATAAAGTACTTACCTTAGCAAAACCACAAAATATATTTTAAAAATACATTCACCTCATCAGCTGGTATCACCATGTGACGTGTGAGTGGACTCAGAATGCGTGTATGTGACTGGTAGAAAGTCAGATATTGTAGGACTTAAAAATACAGAGAAGTGCTATGCTTTTAGCTTTTGTTTAGGTCAGTGCCAAATGCTTGATTTGGTGAATTTTGCGACCTTAATCAAGAAAGGATTGATTTCACCACACAGGTATCCTTGAGTTCAACAGGATCAAATCAGATTCAGTATATAAACACATGCTTAAATGATTTCATGTGTAATTGTCATCAACATACAAAAAAAATCTTTAAATAATACAGGTGTAGGGGGTTTGGACAATGTGACTTACATAATGTGCAGGACTGTTTTGAAAAGAGCACCGTGCAATGACATCAGAGCAAAGGACTGTCAGCACTGAAGTGGACTCCAGAATTTATCCTAATGGTAATGAAACAAGGTACACAGATTTAAATGTGAAGGTATTGAAATACTTTGTATTATGAAATCATCCACGTAAATGTATGTAAATGAATAAAACTCATTAAAACACTACACTGGACACACCTTTGTGGGCTACAGCTCTTCCAGGGTCCTTTGATCTCTATTCTATATCATTCTTTGGTTTCTAACTCTGTTTTAAAATCCTGTAAGTTAAAAAGCATCTTAGGTCTTATATTTCATATATTTACAAGAGAAACCATTTCTTTTGGTAGGAGGTGTGTTCACTATAATAAGGCTTCTATTCTTTGTAGTAAACAACATATTTACAAACCACAAATAACAAAGTAGAAGCTGCAGAAGGGTTATGGTGTGATAATTAAGTACAATGGCGACCCATATGAACAGAAAATGCCAAGGAGCTAAAACAAAGCAACAACAGCTTTGTTTGTTGACAGATGTAGGAGCCATATTGTTAGTTAATTGGGTAATGGTGTAAACATTTGCAAACTCTGCTGTCCCTCAGTGAATTAAGCAGCACACTGAAATTATGGGGAAAAGCTGCGCAGTCCTTTTGCTGCAGGTACTCCACAATGCTGTCAGCTAACCTGCCGAGTATGAAGGAACTGAGTGAGGGACATCACGCGTTGTTGTTATTTAAGGTACTTGAAGTTTGGAAACCTTAGAGTTTAGACTAGGGATATGCATCTTGAATTAAACTCAAGTGAATAATTGTCTTCATATGGTTACAGTCTGGAAGATTGTGTTCATTGCCTAGGCTGGCTTGTCAGATTTTTTTCCCCAATGCAGAAGAGACTTGTTCTGTCCTTCCCAGCTTTGTCTTGCAAAAAGAGCTTGCAAGATTTGAAAATAGAGAGGTTTAATTAGATACTGGCTTGAACTGAAAAGGAGGAAAACTGCTTCTCTCAGGTGCACAATGCCTCGTGTGCTGTGAATTGCAGACACCCCTATTTACCTCCCTTTCTGTGCCCATGTGCAATAATGGACTGTAGCTGAATACCAAAACATTAAAAAATGCAACAAGATACTTAATTAGCATACTTCTGTAACCACAAACTTAAATGCACTACTTTGGCTGTTTTTTACATAGCAGGTTTGCTTTCTAAGATAATAACCTTTCAATAATTTAAGCAGCATCTGTGCAGGAATGTAGATAATGGGAATCTAAAATTGAGTCTGGTTTTTATAAATTATTTTTCTCTGCAGACATTTAGCAATAGCTCACCATAGTACATGAAGTTTAAGAAAATATGTTCTTGCTTTGGGAATCAAAATAATGCATTTGGGTTTTGGGGGTTTGGAGGTTTTTTTAATTCTGTTGCAGTCAGAGAGGCGAAATTACATTGATTTCAATGGATTCAGGAAATTATAAGCTTTTAATATTTGTTTAAATAATTAATCTTCTGTAATTATCCAATAAAACACTGGAAATACAAATGTATTTTAAGTTTGCCTGATTTGGGGGGGGGGAGGGAGAAGAGGAGCAATACTGGTTTTGTTAATTGGTACCAGGGTTAGTAAGTTAGGCTTTTAAGAAGAAAATATATTTAGTGCTTCTTACATTAATTAATAGTATTTGGTTTGCTTGACACTTAATGTTTTAAAAAAATAATTTTAGAAAGCAGTGCCATGGTATGATCATAGATAAATTTAATTTTGGAAAAAATGTTTATCAGTATGTATTTGCATTTATACCTCTAAGACTAATTATCTATTATTCACAAGCAAACTTCTGGTAACTAGTGTGTTCACACAGCAAAAGAAATTAAAACAGAATTACCAGGTGAAATAAGTAAAAAATGGAAGTGAAATATTTCAGAAAATGCTAAGGTTAAAAGAAATAACGTTATCTTTCTATGTGAAGCTTTGCAGTAGTCTTCTGAAGGATGTTACAGCATTGGCATGTAAACGTGAATGTCTGAAGGACATTAGGACCCTTGTCTTCGTTATTTTGTCTATAGAAATAATTATATTGTGTTCAAATTTCTTTTCATATAAGAGATTTACCCTATAGGCAGCAGTCTAGCTTCTAAGTAGAATCCTCAACACAAAAGTTTCTTGCTGACTATAAACTGAGAATTGCTTATGTGGCTTAAGTGAAGGTGGGTAATGGGATGCTGAGGATGGTGAGCAGCTTGCAGGGCTTGGTGCTAAGATCTAGATGCTGAGGAATTTTGGCAATAGTGGCGCAGATAGCGCCTGTATCGTTATTTTCCAAATTGCATGGCATTTAACTCTTACTGGAATTCTCCTGTATGCCCACCTGCACAAGTGATTGCCTAAATACCTTTACAAATCCAACGAGGAGTCGGGATTCCAGGGAACAATTCTATAATACAAATGCACACACGTAAATGTCTACACAAATGATATATAGACACATAGTACTTATAATGGGCAGACGGCTATATACACACACATGCACAGTAAGCGTACACTTCCATAGCTGGGTTGAGATGCAGTTTCACCATACGGTGAGCTGATTTAGCATCTCGCTCCCACTGGGAGGAGGAGGACCCTGCCTCTCCCTTCTGCTGACTGCTTGGTGCTTTTGCTACTTACCTCGCCCTGGATTTGGTGTTGACAGGACTGGCGCGCTCACCAGTTAAACTCACTAGCATGACAGAAAAACAACCAAACAAATAAAAGTGGACTGTTTTCTCCCAGCCTAGGTTTGCTGAGGTGGCTGATAAGTATCAAAGTGAATGAAAGTTAGGTGCTTCACCATGTGACTTGGAGGAGGAAAATAAAGGCAGAATAAGTTTCCCCTTTCAATGGGAATACTTATCTGGGACTATAGTTTTATTTTTCATCTTAACTCCTGTGTTCTAGTAATCCTTCCAAAAAATCTTAACTTTGACAAAAACAGATATATTCACTCATTGGTTTATGGTAGAAAACCAGACCTTGGAATTAATCTTGTGGATTCTGTTTATTATTATTATGTTTATTGTTCTTACATAATAATAAAAATACCACCACCACAAAAAATACAATATATATTTCTTAATCTACATCCTGGGAATTCACACTCTTCAGTTATCACTCAAAAACCTCCCCAGTGAAAATCTGCCGTGTGAAGATACAGTTCCAAAAAAGTCTACTTAGACGTATCTCCTTGTTCTTGTCTTTACAGGTGACCCAGCTGGATCCAAATAAATCGTTACTGGAGGTAAAACTGTATCCTCAAGAAACCCTTTTCCTAGAGGCAAAAGAATAGATCAGACAAGATTGTAGGACTAATCATCCTTTGACAAGCCAGAGGCACAGCATCGAAAGGAAGACTTCTGTCAACGCCACCTTGTACTATCATCCAACTCAATTCAGTGTCACAACTTCGCCTCTTGCAAGAATCCTGAAAAACTGAAAAAACATAGCTACTTAGCTACTTAAAGTTTCATGAGTATATGTTTCCAACCTCATTTAAATGAGCAGAGGATAAAATTCTGCTATGAACACTGAACATTATGACTCTGTTGCTCACTTATCATCCAGCTTTTGTTATAATTAATGCACTGTTAAAATGTGAGTGATTGTTAAGTAGAATTTTTACTCCTCAAATGCCCCTTTTTCACCAAGAAATCTTGGACATTTCTGCCTGTACTTTTGACACTAGAATGCTGTATATTTGATATCTCGCTGAGCCAGTGCTCTCATATATATGCATTTTATTTCTGTGTTTGAATTTCTACTTTGTCAACTAATTTAAAAAGGCAGAAAAAATTAACGGGACATTCTCAGCCATGGAAATTTAACAGTATTATAGTAGAAAGCATATAATTTTTGTTAGTACTTTCTGACTTCTTTGATAAGATGTAAGGTTTTGTTTGAAGAATATAGTTTGACATATATGCGAGATATTTATTTACTGGTTCTGCTTTGGGTCTCAGTTCTGATTCAGTTTAGGAAGTATTTTCCATTACATTGCAGTGTGTGAAACTGCTTATTGCATGATGTGAATATTTAAATGACATTAGAAATGGCCAGTACCAGAAACCTGGTACTTGCCAACACTTCAGGAATCAGCTGATATTGAATATCAGCTGTTAAAAACCTTTCAAATACCAGATACAAAAGTTCTTTATTTCTCATTGTGAAAGAAAGGGCAGTTCCCATTTTAGCAGTTTTCCTTCAGTCTGGCCCTTGTTTGTATCCTCTTACTCTGCTGTTTTAAAGCACCTTGTTTGTTTCATCAAACAATGAGCATCTGAAGAGGTGGTGTAATAAGAAATCTGCCTTATTATTGCACACTTTGGACATTTTAACAATAGATTACTGATCCCGTCTCAAATTAAAGAAATCCTAGTTCTCATGTCTGAAATGTATGCACCAACTACCTGCTATCTGATGTAGAAAAAATCTGGTACTTTAAATTTCTCAACCATAGAATGAGCATACTGAGTCTAAGACCATAACGTACACTTGATGCCAAACCTGCATCAAAACTGGTTTGGTGGTTTTTTGTTGTTTTTTTTTTTTTCTTTTTTTAATCTGTGGGCTTACAGGATAGTGCACAATAGCACTACAGAATCGTCATCTGCTAATCAAACTTTTTTTTATTATTATTAAAAGCCTGGCACATTGTTTTCCACATATGTTTATATGTAATTCATAGCGTTTATCGTAGCAAAATGAGTTCTGATTTGAAAATTTTATACTAAGCAAAAATCAATTGCACACATCTGTTAGTCTTTCTTTTTTCTTTGGAAGGATGGTGATATAAAACTAAATGTATGCCTATTAGTAGGGTGTTAGTGAAGCTGATATATTGTTACCTTTACCAAAAATGCAAATTTCTGAGCGGGGAAAGCCTTATTCTACCTTTTGTAATTCTGTAATTAGTGAGTGCAACATCAGACACTTTTAGAAGTGAAGTATCTATGACAAACAAAAGGTTTGGAAGTGTAAGCAAATTCTAATCATTTGCAGTTCACAAATAAAAGGATTCACAGCCAATAGAAAGACAAATGTATGTGTAATGGAAAGCTGAATGCAGACACTTCATTCTGAACTTTTGTTTTCTTACAAAAAAAAAAAAAATCCACTATGTTTATTAAATAAGAAATTAACATAGGTTGCAAATTGGGGTGATGCTGTTTCTACAATCACAGTAACACATACAGCAAGATTTTAAAGTGATACATATCTTTTTTTTTCAGATTAGCTCTTCCTTCTAAGCTGGCTATTGAGGAAAGGAATTGCTGAAATACTACTACACAAAGCGAAGCGACCTTTCAGCTAACTTGTTTATATTAATCTGTTCTGTTTGACTTTTGTTTGGTCTCATCAGGCTGTTTTCCCTCATTCAACTTTATTTCTGTATTTTGACTATATATTCTTTACTTTGATACTAGTTTCATAAAGTTATTAAATGTGGCTTGAATATTTGTTGAACTTGTTGAAGTCAGCGCTCCCAGGGTTTGTTGGGCCTTTTTTTTCCTAAACTCTATTATTATTTTTTCCTCATTTTGTTCGTATCGCAAAATACACTGTCATTATCAAAACGCTCTGGTAGTAATTAACTGGAAGTGTTCAAAGTGGTGGCATTACTGCCCTCTGATATAAAGATATCAAGATCGGTATACAGGGATCATTCTGCCACAACGTAAACAAGTGTATCACTCTTTAAATAAAACATTTATGGTTTTGGTCCTTAAATACTTTGGGCCTGATTTCAAGAAGCAACCGTCTAGAGTCACCTTTCCAAATTACACCCTCAATGCAAACCAATCCCTGTGTAGAAACATTAATATTCTATGCCATCATTTTCTGCTCTCCTAAACCATGGCATTCACATCACATGCTCTGCTGACATGGTTAATCCGCTAGTCAGTCTACAGACTAATTTTGTAATTCAGTATTACCCTAAAACCATAACACTTGCTACAGAGCATATCCCTGATTCTACCTGTTTATCTTCAGGTTCTTCACATTAATGCCTTATCATTAATGTGATTAATGCATTAGTTTTAAGTCTTAAGGAATTACTGTTAATGAACGGAATCCTGTACGATGTGTCGGCTTTCGTTACTGGCCTTCAGAGCATTGCGGTGAAGGTGGGGCGTGCTCTGGCTTTTGAGGAAACTTCCTGCCTATTGATATTGTGTTTGAAATCATTATTAGAGAATATGCAGAAAACAAGTGTTTGCTCTGTATTCTCTGCATACACACTCTTAAATTTCGCGAGAGTGCTGAGAGTGTTTCTAATGGAGCTATGTTGGGGGTTTTGTTTATTCTTTTTAATGTAGCAGAAAAGGACTTTGGCTTTCGTAAACTGTACCTACTCAGTGACATTAGAAACTTAAAATAAATTTTCAATTACAGTAGTATTTCTACTAAACAGTGATATGATTTCACTCTTCCATATGTGGGGACAAACCAAATCGCCATGACCCAGACTCACAGAAGGACCGAAGCACTTCATTATCCAGTTATCATTGGATATACATCCATTATTCATGTCCAGACTTCCTAAACAATGCACAGGAAGATTTAGATGCCTTAAAACTGTGTCCACAACAAGCAAAAAACCCACAAGTAGGTCTCCAAACAAAGCAAAGCAAAACCCCCACGTGTGAAGAGTCGCTACCAGCCAGAACCAGAAAGTGGTTAGAGCGGTCAGCAGGAAATGGCAAAGCAGAAGCTG